CCATCAACACGGCTATAAGCTGGCCGCGAATGAAATATCGATCGTTCGGATGCGTAGACACGAGGTCTTCGACTAGATTGAACTCTTTTTCTGTCTTCACGTCGGTTTGGTTGTTGACTGGGAGGGCTAATGTCTTCTCGATCAGGTCGTCAATGTAGCGTGTTAGATCGCGATAGGCTCGCGGCGCGAAGAGCCAGTCGGGAAAAAGGTTTGCGAGGCGTCCGAAAAGGAGACGGTTTGTGTTGAACGTAAGGAGTTCTTCCATGGCTTTGCGGAAGGGTTGCTCGTTCGCGGAGAGGGAGTCTGTGGATTCGCCGAGAAAGACTTGGGACACTAGGTCAAGTTGAAACCTGTCAACCATGTCGTACACATCCACCCTTTCGAGTGAGTTCTCGATCAATCTTAAAAGCTTTTGCATATGAACTTCAGCGGTAGGAATATCATCCGGACGTACTCTCGACACGTGCGGCTCTAATTGTTCCCTGCTCGTCTTCCACAAAGGCCCGTCAGTGGTAAACACCGAGTCCCCCAAGATACTGCTAAACACATCATGTGGCGTCTGGCCTTTCGCGAAGTCCGTAAACTGATCTGCCTGGATGGCCTTGATGTTCTCGGCTCGGTCGGTAATGAAAATGTCGCTGCCGAGTAGGTTCATTTCGACTGTGCGGCCCGGTACGGAGAGAACTTCGTCGCAGATGTATTCGACGAATGTGTTGGAGTGAAGGCGCGTTACTAGGTTCCATGCCATGTCTAGTCCTATGGTTCATGGGGTGGTCAGTCTCACCCCCATATTCAAGTGACGCGAATACTGCTAACCAAAGGGTAGTTTGTACGGGAGGCGAGGAGCATGCGGGATCGATGATCTCGTCTTGTTGCCATCTTTCAGTTTTGAGGCTAGAATAATAAGGAAGACAATCGTCACTGCGCCGTATAGCAACAACTTTGAGATATCGCCCTCTATAGTCGTCAGAACACCCATCTTCGTGGTTGGCTAGTGGCCAGTTGAAAGACTTGATGAATAGAGAATGCAACGGCTTCCTCTAGGTGTGCAAGGACAGGCACATGATGTATGTGCTCATCTACTTCGACTTCAGCGCTAGACTCGCTAGGAACTTGGAGGGAACCAACGGACGGGACCACGATCAACAGGGTACTGAGGCTCCAAGTGGGTAATGGATTAGCCGGAATCGTTCGCCATGGCTAGATCAGAGATGAAGCCGCTTGGGTGGGACTCCAGGTGCGCTGATTCGGGGTGACGTCGGATCGGCATGACTTCGGATAGGCTGATCTGGGGGTACTGCGGATGGAGCTAACGGAATGACTTCGGATATGGCTATACATAAACGTTGCGGTAAGCGTTTTGCCGTGCAACGGCAAGCTCCATGAAGCCAGTGAATCGTGCCCTAGCCACAGTACTTTTGTACTAGTCTCCGGCTCAGGTTGTAACACTCTAGCTCCAAATGGTTGAGGATATCGATATTCTAGTAACCATCTCTATCTGCCGGAACAACTGCTGAGCCATTCATGCCTGCACTGGTCGACTTCCCTCTCAGAGGGCTAGCCCTCATCGCCAAATGCGCCTTCGAGCCCATCATTACCGGCCCTCTTCTTGGATTATTGCTATACGCCCCAGAGAAGACATGGACATGCGCCTTGGAAGAAACATCTCTTTCGCATATCGTCGATGAATACAACTTGCTCCGCGTACTGGGGTTTCTAGCTGCTATTGGTATAGTCAGGAAGACCAATGCAGCTCTGAACGCGTGGGCGACAAATAACTGGCAAATATATGCCGGTCGTGGCTGGGACTGGCCTACTGAAATCGCAGTTGTCACTGGAGGATGCAGTGGAATCGGCAAAGCCATCGCAGAATCTCTCACTTCTCACGGAATTCGCGTGGCAGTGCTCGACGTGCAGGATGCGCCCAAGGTATCCTCATCGAACAACTTGTCGACATACTTCCGGTGCGACATCTCCAACCCTGAATCGATAGCAAAAACAGCCGAGAAGATTCGCAAAGACCTTGGCAGTCCCTCAATTCTCGTCAACAACGCCGGCATCACGGGTTCTCACACCATTTTGAAAACGCCAAGCGAGTTCCTCAGTCGTATCTTCGACACGAACATTCTTTCCCACTGGCGGCTAGTTCAACAGTTTGTGCCGGACATGGTCGCAAAGAACAAAGGCCATATCGTAACAGTCGCGAGCGTCAACTCGTTCCTGACGAACTCGGCTAATGCGGACTATGTGGCAACCAAGACCGCGGCTTTGGCGTTCCATGAGGGTCTTACGAGCGAGCTGAAAATCTGGTACAAAGCTTCGGGTGTCAAGACTACGATTGCGCATCCGAGTTGGGTCCGCACGCCCCTGATTGAGGAGATGATCTTGAGAAGTGGCCAAGACCCAAAGATTCTGGAGAAGATGTTGATGCCAGAGGAAGTTGCTGAGGTCATAGTGAGGCAGGTCATTAGCAGGCGTGGTGCTCAGTTGTTCATTCCTAATATCGCGGCGCCTATCTCATGGTTGAAAGGGTTGCCGAACTGGGTACAGGAGCTTGTGAGAGACGCGTTTGGGAAAACGAGTGCTGTCACCAGTAGTTCGATGATCGCGTACTAGATGTCAACACTCGATTAAAACGTGTATTGGAGCATGGACGCCAGGTTCACATTCCAGTATTTTCAGTTTCTTGCTTGTGCTAACTTTGTCGTGAAAGCGGTACCAGTCGGATGGGATATTGCCAAGTGACGTTGGTTGCGTCTCAACCCCCTAGACCGCTACAATTCTTCCCAGGTACACACAACTGCATGCAGGAGTTCTGATACGTGTCGAGAACACGTGGGAGACTTGTTGCGGTGAATCGAGCTAGAACGGGTACTGCCGGTACGAAGAAGGGCCTTTTCGGCTGCTTGGGGCATGGGCCCATGTCTAGTCGAGAGCTCGGTAGAATTCCTATGGTTAATCTCGTGGGCTTCTGATTCGTGTTTCATTTTGGTACGATACCAGGAAACCTAGCTGGGCTACTGTAATGTCGAGTGCGGTCACTCGCATGACGGGAATGAGGCGTTACCAGCACAGGCATTCCACGAAAACCTAATTCGCAGGACCAGGACTCTTGCTTATCGTGCACGATCTCTTGGCTCTGTAGCTTTATTCGACGTCTTCGCACAATCGTGGATTCTGGTGACCAACCATCGCGTTCCGTTCAGTGTTGCTTCTCATTCATCCAGTATCCAAACATGGCTGCCGAATTCTCTCTGGCTGAGACGCCAATCGGCAAATACTTCGCATCCATGGCGGAGATGGGCGTATTGCGCGTCTTCGTTGAGCACGGCATCTTCGACGCCATTCCAGAAGAGGGAATCTCTCTCAAAGACCTTACGGAAAAGCTGAGCATAGAGTACAAACTTCTGGAGCGCTTCACGGCCTTCTTTCTCGCTATTGGCATGCTGACTAGCCCGGAACCTGGCCGTGTGGCGCATACACCGGCGTCAAAAGCATTCACTGACCCCCGCGTCGCGCAATTCTATTCGTACCTCTTCGACTTCTTTATGGGGCCAACGACGCGGTGGACAGACTACTTCGAGGCGAACGGGCTCGCTGAGCCGGCTAGATCGAATCGTTCGCCGGGAGGATTTGCGCTGGGCATGCCCGATAAGACAGCGTATGAAATCATGGCGGCGATCCCGGGGTTGGCCACAAGGATGAATGGGGCGATGGCCATTGACGGTGATATTCCTGTCACGGGGGTGTATGATTTTGGATGGGTAGCTGCATTTGCCGCGGGAAACGTCGGTTCGGAGAGGGAGCTGATCGTTGATGTTGCCGGAGGGAAAGGTCAGGCGTTGAAGGCTATCTTGGAGGAGACGCCTGCCATTCCTGCCGCCAGGTGTGTCCTGCAGGATCAGCCGCATGTCATCGCTGAGGCGGAGGAAGAGCACAAGGATTCTGCTGTTTTGGGTCCGGTGAAGAAGATCGGGCATAGCATCTTTGGGGAACAGCCCACCAAAGGTACGGAAATCGAGTTCTATCCTCTCAGGATACACGATACTTGCGCCAGGAAACAAGCTGACGGACCACTCTAGGTGCTCTCGTGTATTACATACGTCGCGTCCTGAACGACTGGTCCGACCACGAAGCTCTTCAGATTCTGAAGAACGTGCGCGCGGCTTGCGCGGACGACTCGCGCGTGTTGATTGCTGAGTATCTGCGCCCTGAACAGCCAAGTGTATACACTAGCACCGTCGACATGTTCATCTTAAACATCGGCGGAAAGGTGCGCAGTGAGAAGGCGTTTGCCGAGCTTGCTGCGAAGGCGGGGCTAATGATCGCGTCGGTGGTGAGGCATGGACAGACGGAGTCGGCGGTGGTTGAGATGATACCCCAGCCACCGCCGATCTAGCTGGAGGGTGTCGCGTCCGTGCGCACACCTGGGCAGTCACCGAAATCCCAAAGCGTACCAGTGCAAACTGCAGACTTGCTCGGGCCGTTCCCTACGCCTCTGTCACTCTAGCCGTAGAATGCAACTAGAAATCTACCGAACGTGTATTATCTAATTGCTGTTGTCGGAACGTTCCTCGGCCTTAGCCGCACACCGCCATGGTTGATCTGGATTCTGTGACCAACTCGTCCGTCGGCCGCGTCGGCTCCTCTGTGGGTACCTTAGGTGCTGGCTGACGTGCAACAACGGCGACCGGATATCTGTAGTCGGCAATGAGTCGAAGGGCCCACGGAGCGTGGGTGGGAACATTGCACTACTCCGCCGCAGATGCATGATCCAGGCTGGAGACCACGACTTAGCCGCTATGGGAAGGATTGAGACGGCATGCACTGTAAGGGTCGGTGCAATCGTCTTCCCTAGTTGACTTCGCAACTGCGCGTGTTGAGCTGTCGACCCCGGCAATCACCTTCTCCTGTGCATGAGATGCTGACACAACCCGTATTTTGTATTTGTATACACTGCGAAAGAGCTTTAATATCAAGCTTTCTTCATTGCGCGCACAATGGGCTCCACAAGGACATGGCCTATTGATGCGCTCACTGAGCATCAGGAGCTCCTCTCATTCTGGGTATTGTTAGAAGTAGCCCTATGCGCCGTATTAACCCCGGACAAATGACACGTAGGATACCTCTACTGACGTACGCTACAGGTCTTTGGGCATACCGTATGGTCCGTCGTATACAATCTCTACTTTAACCCACTTAGCAAAGTGCCCGGACCGTTCCTGTGGTCTGTATCGCCACTCCCACTCCTGTTGATGTCATGGTCGAGCACGCCGCACAAACAGATCCTGGCATTGCACAGGAGGTACGGCGACGTTGTCCGCACAAGCCCAGACTCAGTGTCATGCCTCCACGCAACAGCATGGAAAGAAGTGTACGGGCATCGTAAGCCAGGTCAGCCAGAGAACCTCAAGCACCCAGGTTTCGTAGCCGAAGTCGCCTCAGGTATCATCGGGGCCGACACAGACTCTCACACACATCAACGTCGTCTGCTAACGCCCGCGTTCTCCGGGCAAGGCATACAGCGCCAGGAGCGTATCATCCGCCACCATATCGACCAACTCTTCAGCTGTTTTGGAGAGCACTGCGCCGAAGGTCGATCCCTGGATCTGGCCAAGTGGTTCAACTTCTTCTCATTTGATGTCATTGGCGATCTCAGCTTCGGCGAGTCTTTTGCGAATATGGAGCGGAGGGACTTTCATCCATGGGTTGCGACAATACTGGAGTTCTTCGTTGCGCAACATGACATGGCACACTTCCGGCGGGCGTATCCGTTGTTCGAGGCGATGATAAGCCCGTTTGTTAGAATATTCGCCAAGAAGATCATCGCAAAGCATAATCTGTTCATGCGTACTCAAGTTGCGAAGCGTTTAGCTCTGGAGCCCAGCCGACCGGACTTCATTGAAGAGATGAAATCCGACAATAGTAAGGGAAAATGCGTGAGTGCATCCACAATGCTGTCTTGGTCCCAATCCCGCTCATGGATCTAACGGCGCGATAGGGCCTTTCCTTCGAGGCAATCTGCCATAACGCGAGCATCTTCGTCGTAGCCGGGTCCGAAACAACTGCAGTTGCGTATGACGAAGCTTTCCTCTTTTGTCCATTTCCTTTGGAAGTATCAATGTACTGACCATCTCTTGAGTCAGACTTGCTGGGGCAACTTATCTCCTCTGCACCCATCCTGAGACGCTCGCTAAGCTAAGGAAAGAGATCGACGCATCTTTCGATAGCGAAGAACAGATCACACTTCTCAGTGCGCAGCGTCTCAGATACCTCTCGGCTGTCATAGACGAGACCTTGCGTATTCATCCGGCTGCCGTAGGCTCAGTGCCACGACTGATTCAGCGCAATGGTGAGGTCGTCGGAGGGCACTTTCTGCCTGGAGGGGTAAGTCTCAACAGCATTCCCGCAAATCCTTCTGTGGACTTCTGAGCACGTCGCTGATTGTAATGGGAAAAACCTAGACCTGCGTGGACATTTGGCACTGGGCGATGTATCATAACCCAGCCAACTTCACGGAACCAGAAGTCTTCGCTCCAGAGCGCTGGCTCGGAGATCCTCGCTTCGAAGCGGACAAGAAAGCGGCATTCCAGCCCTTCTCGACAGGAAAACGCAGCTGTATCGGTCAGAAGTACGCCACGCCCCGTCTCTGGTACAAATACGAAAGAATTCGCTGACTGAGAATCCGCGACTAGTTTGGCACACTCAGAGATAAAGCAAATATTGGCCCGGCTGCTGTGGAAGTACGATATTGAGCTTGTGGACCGCGAGTGGCTTGAACAACAATGGCACGATCAACGCGTGCGCGCATCTTACGTGCAACCGCCTTTGAACGTGAGGCTTACCCTCAGACGAGAGAGGTCAGATCTGGAGTAAAGATGCAGTGTGGAAACAGCTGAGGTTGCATTGATGATGAAGCTCAGGTGTTCTCTGGCGGGAGGCAGAAACCTCGGAGGCTGGAGCCGAGGCTCCGAGGGCTTGGCATGGATCTCGTCCCGCCATCTGTCGCGTCCCGTCGCGTCGCGAACAACAACATTTCTCTTCTCCAATTCTTCGAACGCAGCTACCACTCATTCTACGGGCTAGGTTGCAGCTACATGGGGTGTCTTCGACCAGGACAACTTCACTAGTAAGAAACTTAATGCGGAAAGAGCTGCCTGCGTTTTGATGACGTCAATATCTTTGGCACTGCGGTATGGCAGTTTAATCCGACCCTCCCAACTAAAAGTCTTGCATTGCGCTGTGCGAAACGTTCATGGATTCCAAAATCTGCCTAGTCTCGCTCAGAACCTTCTTTTCCAGATCGTCACCACGTTTCGAATACATCAGAACGGGATAACTACGACAGTGTCAGCGAAACCCTCAGTCAGAGTGCATCGTTGCAGTTTCTCGACTTACGGACGTACTCCCCACTCACTCAAGAAGCCCCCATGGCTTTCTCGACCAGCGACCACTACAGCATGGACATGAGTGCTGGCGCCCTCAGCCAAGCTTCTACCAAACAAAGCGAAGTACACCATCAACATATACCTCATGACAGCGTTTGCGTTTAATGTACGCCAGATCTCTGTTTCTCCCACCAGCCCAGGACAAACTGTATTGATAATCACCTCATCGGAGTTCACCAGCGATGCCAGCTTCCTCACGAAAAACATCTGTAACAACTTCTCGCGCGCATACCACTTAGTAACGTCATACTTCTCGTCGAACTGCGGCAAGATTGGTTTCCCATGGTCGAAATCCGCGAAATATGCCGTCGTCGACGTTACAACTGTGAGCCTCGCCGGCTTTCCCACCAAGCCGGTTTTGGCTCTCAATATCGGCAGGAGAAGCACCGCCAACATGATAGTCGAGAGGTAGTTGACCTGGAAAGTCTGCTCTTTGCCTGTCTTGGAAGAGACAACATAGTCCTTGTTCTGCACACCGGCGTTCAGAACTACCATGTCCAGCCTACCCAGAGTCTGACATCGTCTGGCAAAAGCCGCGACAGATTCGGGATCTTCCATATCTAGGATCCAGACTTCGACTTCAGCGCGCATAAACTCCCTGCGGAGGGCTTCTGCTGCAACATCGCCTTTGGCCTGCGATCGGACGGCTAGAATGAGCCGAGAGAGATCTAGCTGGAGGAGCTGTCGCGCCGCCTCGAACCCCAGGCCGGTATTCGCGCCGGTGATAATGGCTGTCTGACCTTCAAGAGTGACTCCTGCTGCCATTGGCGGAGGATGCATGAACAGTTGGCGGTACATGAAGCCTATACCGCTTTGGAAGGTAAGGCGACTGTTGATTCGGTCCCACAAAGACATGTCGACTGCGTTGTGTTGGAATTCGGAGATACTGTTTGTGATCTATCATCAGAACACGTTACTATCTGGACGACTTTAGTGGCAGCGGTGAGCCCTCGAAGGTGAGGTGTTTGCATTTGTGGGTCGAAACGGTCCCTGAATCGTACTCGTATCATACGTAAAGCCACCGAGCTATGGCCTAACCACCGGAGTAATACCTAGCCACCGGATTACGCCCTAGCCACAATTCATAGAGTCCGGCCGGTTCAACAGCCACCGAGGTGGGTACAATCGCATGCGGTACTGACCGGTTTAGCGTCTCCACATACGGTAATGTGCCTGACACCATGGTAGCTACTCTGGCCTTCGAGACAAGGAAGGTACTCATGGGTCATGACTATGATGAAAGCGGTTTTCGGCGAGACGTCTGTTGTATTTAGCAAAGCTCGGTCACTGTCTTTTCAACGAAACGAGTTTGTACATATCGGATTCCCAGACTTGAATTGTACTTGCGACCATCCCAGGTAATCTTCCACGAACTTTATCATTAGGCCTAGAAACATCTGCACTTGGCAAGAAGATTACAGGACGTTGGAAAAGCTTGTGTCCGTTAAGCTTCCGTACCATACCAAATACCGCAATCATGGCTACTACCGACAAGACAACGCCCATAGCCATCATCGGCATGAACATGAAGTTCCCAGGCGACGCCGTATCCGCCTCCTCCTTTTGGGAACTGATAATGAACGCTCGAAATGTATCCAAAGAGATACCCACCGACCGCTTCAACATAGATGGTATGCAACCATATCCTCTACGGAAGTAAAAATGAACATAAGCTAACTTGGACGAACAGCATTCTACCACCCCGACCCAAACCGCCTAGACAGCCTACGCATCCGCCACGCGCACTTCATGGAAGAAGACCCCCGCAGTTTCGACGCCCCCTTCTTCAACATGTCCTACGCCGAAGCATCAGTCCTCGACCCGCAACAACGCGGCCTCCTCGAGGGCGCCTACCGCACTTTCGAAAACGCCGGAATACCCATGGAAACACTCTCCCGCTCTCCCACATCAGTCTACTGCGCCTCCTTCTCGCGCGATGGCGAAACAATAACAGGTCGAGACTTTAGTGCACAATTTCGGTATCACGCTACGGCGAACGGGTCGTCCATGCTGAGTAACCGCATTAGTCATTTCTTCGATCTCGCAGGGCCGAGTTTGACGGTCGATACGGCGTGTTCATCAGGGTTGTACGCGCTGCATCTTGGTGCGCAGAGTATTCTTGCGGGAGAGAGCAAGATGTCGCTTGTCTGCGGCGCAAACACATTCATCACACCCGAGAGCCAGGCGCTTGCACTCAGTAACGGCGGGTTTCTGAGCGTGGATGGAAAGAGCTATAGTTTTGATGCCAAGGCGAATGGCTACGCTAGGGGCGAGGGCTTTGGCTTCGTCTTGCTCAAGCCGCTGGATGCGGCACTGAGGGATGGCGATGTTGTCAGGGCGGTCATTAGGGCGACTGGTGCGAATCAGGATGGCAGGACGCCGAGTATCACACAGCCGAGCCAACAGGCCCAACTGGATTTGCTGCGGGATACGTATCGTGTTGCGGGGCTGAACGTTGCTGATACCGACTATGTTGAAGCCCATGGAACCGGCACGCCAGTTGGAGATCCTATTGAGGCGGCAGCTGTAGGGCAGGCTTTCCGCGATGGTCGTAAGGCGGACAGACCGCTTTACATGGGATCTGTGAAAGCGAATATCGGTCATTTGGAGGGCGCTTCGGGCATGGCTGGTGTCATCAAAGCCGTTCTCGCGCTGGAGAATGCGGTGATTCCGCCAATTGCCATGTTCGAGAAGCCCAATCCTGCTATCGATGTAGCAGGTTTGCAGCTTGCATTCCCCCAAGAAGCAGTCCCATGGCCAGCAACAGATATTCGCCGGGCGTCCGTCTCCTCCTTCGGCTACGGAGGTAGTAATGCCCACGTCATCCTCGACGATGCATACAACTACCTGCGCACCCACGGTCTGGAAGGCCTGCACCAATCTGTCGGCGAGCCCACATCCACCAACGACCATACCAATGGCTACACGAACGCCAACGGTAACGGCACTCACTCACTCATAACCCCCTACGCCATCATCCCCTTCTCGGCCGCAGATAGCGACGGCACAAAACGCCAAGCAGAAGCCCTCCAAACTTTCGTCTCCTCGCACGAAGCTGCCCACACCGCAGACTTCTTTTCTGATCTGACTCACACCCTATCTTCCCACCGATCTCTTCTCCAATTCCGGTCTTACGCCGTCATCTCATCCCCTACCGACGATCTCACCACTATCGTCTCGCCCAGCATCTTCAGCAGTACTTCCTCGGCCCCTGACTTGTCCTTTGTGTTCACAGGGCAAGGCGCACAGTATGCCCGAATGGCGGCCGGTCTCCTGCATTATACCGTCTTTCGTCAGAGTCTTGAGGACTGCGACGCGTATCTCGCCACTCTTGATAGTACATGGTCTGTGCTAGAGGAGCTCGAGAAGAACGAGGATGCGAGTCAGGTGTCCAAGCCGGCGCTGTCACAACCTCTCTGTACAGCTATTCAGGTGGCGCTCGTCGATCTACTTCGCACATGGGGTATCATCCCCCGTGCTGTGGTTGGTCATTCGTCGGGTGAAATTGCAGCTGCGTACTGTGCAGGTGGACTGGATCGCGAGAGTGCATGGCGAGTGGCCTACTTCCGCGGTGTTGTCGCCGATAAACTGGCGTCTGACCCACAGAGAGAGCCAACAACAATGATGTCTGTGGGCTTGGGCAAGGAGGCTGTCCAGACATATCTGAAGGCTGAGCCAACGGTGACTGTCGCATGCGAGAACAGTCCTGTCAACGTCACGTTGTCAGGTCCCACAGTGGCTATCTCGCGCTTATTCGACACGCTGGATGCTGATGAGGTCTTCGCACGGAAACTGACTGTGAAGATTGGGTACCATTCCGAAGCGTTGCGGGATGGCGCGGTGAACTATGAGAATTCCCTGGCTGGAATACGCGCACCAACGAGGGAGGGCAAAGAACCGAGCACTGTCGCCTTCTTTTCATCCACCGAAGGCAGCTTCATCACACTGGAGGGTCTTGCGAGTCCGAGCTACTGGGTGAAGAACCTGCTCTCCCCAGTCCTGTTCACTGACGCGGTAACAGCGCTGGTAAGCGAAAAGAAACAGGTCTCCAAATTCTTCGTCGAGATCGGCCCTCAATCCGCTCTTCGACGCCCCGTCAAAGATATTTTTAAGCACCTAGGCGAAGGCGAGGAAAAATGGTCGTACGCAGCTGTGCTCAACCCTCGTCAGCCTGACGTCCGCACCCTCCTCGAAACCATCGGCGCTCTTTGGAGCGCTGGCCTCCCCAT